GAAAAGCTGCCATGTCGGGTTAGCACATAGAGGGAAAAAAAGATGAGAAGCTTTTACTATAGCCCCAGGGAGAAGTGATGAGGAGCTGGAACCGGAAAAAGGTGCATTTAAGGAATAATAATACAGAACTGATGGACAAGACGGGACCTGGTAACTAGCTGATGAGATGGGGGAGACACGAGAGAGGCAGGCAGGCGGCAAAGATGACTCGGGACCCTGACCTTCATAACTCAAAAGAGGAGGATGCTACTAACAGTCGTAAGAGCAGCAAGAGGAGCTGGCTTGAGGGGAGTGATGGATTTGGTTCGGAATATGTGGCAGTCAAGGTAACTGGCAAGATATCTAAGTGGACAGATCATTGCGGTAACTGGAAATTCAGATTTTAGGTTTTGGCACAGGCGGTGGCTGGATATAGTAGATTTGAGAGCTTTCGCTTAAAGGGCAAGTTGGGGTAGAGGGAGTAGATGAAACGAACCTAGAGAACAAACGTAGAGCTTCCCCTTATCTGTGGATGCCTGAAACTGCAGATAGTACTAAATCCTACGAGTACTCAATACTCACACTGTTTTTTCAGTCTGGTAACCTAGACTGCTACTAAGAGACCAAGGGCAGTGTCTTATCTGTTTTTGCCTTGCTGACAGGAACACCTGAGCCTGGGTGCTTCTAAAAATACAATGGAGTGTGTCTGCAGGCTCCTAGTGGCTGGGATGTCCAGAGTCCCAGGCCTGCGGGACAGTGGGCACGTGCAGAGAGGACAGCCGGCCCCTCCTTTATAGCCCACCAACGCTGTGACTGCTAACTCCTCAGGGGAGCTAGAACCACTGGGTCTTAAGGGACCTGGGCCAGCAGGGGATGTGGTGGTTGAGGTGCTTGACTCCTAAGTAGCCAATTGCAGTTCAAATCCCAGACTTGGAGGCTTGAAACTCATGCCAGGCACATGTGTATATGTAACCAAAATCCCAAGAGGAGAATGGCAGAGAAGGGATTGTGGCATGGCCTTCTCCCCTGAGGGATGATTTCTCACTTTCTGTCTGTCTCTCTCTCTCTGGTGAGTGTATGCGCCCTATAGCAAAAATCCATTAAAAGAGAGAGAGAGAGACATCCTAAATCTATCCGTGAGACTGTTGCCTTCATGATGTTGTCCCCACGAGCCAGTCACCATGCACTAGGCCTTATTCTGCGATACCATGCAGGAATTCAGTTTCACTTAATACCTTGTCAATACAGTCAGGTCCCAGTGTGTGAATTTCTGGGGGCTGTACTCAGACCATAGCAGACAGGTAGTAGGGACGTGCTGGGCAGTGGGATGATTCACTTCCTAGGCAAGATTTCACCACATTCCAGGAATTACATGATACTCTGGTATGCAATTTAAAACTTGTGAATTGTTTACTTTGGGGATTTTTTCCTTTTAATAATTTTTGGTCCACAGGTACCTAAAACTAGAGAAGCAAAACTGCGGGTAAAGGGGGTTGGGCTGGGGCTACAGTATGGAGTGGAAAAGAAAGGGACAGAAAATAGAAGGAAAAGGAGGGGTGGAAAGAGCCCTTTGGTGCTGTTGTCACCACACCCTGGGAGAATTTAAAAAAAAAAAGAATTATTTTATTTATCTATTTATTTTAAAAATTCGCTATGGGGCACATGTACTTACTGGAGAGAAATGGGGTGGGAGTGACATAGGGTTGAGTAGTGAGCAAACAAGACAGCAGGTCTGGGACTTGAACCACACTTGACCATGTAGGAGTCTGGCACCTTAACCACCACGACACCTGCTGTCCCCAGGAGGACTTTTTTTTTTTTTTTTAAGAGTTTTGCTGTAGGACCTGTATGTTCACCAGTGAGACAGAAAGTGAGAAATCACCCCATAAGTGGGAGGAAGGGGTGGCCACATCACAAAACTTTCTCCTCCGTTCTCAGGATTTTGGGCACACACGCTCCAGAGCGTTTCAGGCTACCAGGTCTAGGACTCAAACTGTCGTCTGCCATGTGGGAGTCTGCTTCTGGCCCTGGGAGGGTTTATTTATTTATTTATTTTTACTTTTTTTTTTAAGAGATTTTTTGCTATAGAATGCATGTGCTCTCCAGAAACACAGAAAGCAAGAAATCACCCCCCGGGTGTGTGGGGCGGGAGGAGGCCATGTCACAATCCCTGATCCTCCTCCCCTCTTGGGATTTTGGGCATGCATGCACACATATCCAGAATATTTCAGGCCACTGGGTCCAAAACTCAAAGCGTGGCAACCGTAAGGTCAACCATACCCGAAGTCCGGTGTCTTACCCACCATGCCACCTGCCAGTTCTGTGGAAGGGTTCTTCCTAAGCAGAGAGTTCAATCCACTGGGAGCCAGTGCAGATTTACTGAGCAGACCACCAATCTGAGCCAGCTGAGGCTGGAAGGCAGGGATTTCTGTGGGCCATGCTGGCACAAGTCAGTGTCCTGCCACACCTCTACTTGGAAGCTCTGGAGAAGAAAAGGGGACAGCAGGCCTCGGGGTGAGATGGGAACTGACCATGAGATCCAGGGAGGGCAACATTCACGGTGTCTAAAGCCAGAGTGGGGAAGAATCGGTGGGCGCTGCTGACAGGCAGCTGCAGCAGGGTCACGTGAGCAGGTCAACCAGAGTAAGGAGTGCAATTTGCAGAAACACAGGGACGACACCATCAGAGAAAAGCAGAGGCATTGAACTCCATCCCCAGGCCACATCCCCTCTCGGCCTGCTTTTGTAGACAAAGCCGACTGATCAGTAAAGTGTAGTAATGTTCACACGCCGCATGGCGGCTGCTGCACTCCAGGGACAGAACCGTCTGGTCCTCTGCTAGAAAAGGTCGTGAGCAGCTGGAAGTTGCTGGAGTTTAAGGGTGTGAGGTCTCAGTGGTGGCCTAGGCTAGTGTAATAGTGAGGACGAAGGGGTAGCTAGACAGGCCACTGGTGTGCAGGCAGAAGTTCCGGACCCCAGTAGGCAGGAAGCCCCAATCCTCTAATTGTGACAGAGATGGGGCAGCGGCGCAGCGCGAGGCTGGAGGTAATGAGGAAAGGCGCCCCTGCCTGTGTAGCCAGGAGACTCTGGGGTGGGCACAAGCCAAAGGAAGGTTGTGACTAGGTGCTGTACCCCCATCCCACACAGACCCCCGCCTCCTCCACTCTCCAGGCAAGAGCACTGGGGAGGGCACGAACACCAGCGTGTGGGTGGAGAAGCTGTCCGAGGTGCTCGGTGTCCTGCTAAACCAACGTGACAATGTGGGGTCGCTGTCCTATATTCTGGGCTTTAGAAGGCTGGGTGGAAAGGGGAGGGCCAGGCTGAGGTCTGCCAGCACGAACATCCGGGTGGGCTGGGGTGGTTTGGGTAGAAATGGCAGGTAACCCTTCAGAGACTGGGTACCACGCTGCAGTGAGGACCATGTGCCATTTTTTATAAGGAAGTCCTCCAGCTCCCCTAAAACCATACTGCTCTCCTGAAGGGCAGTGGAGCAGAGAACCTTTGAGGGCCTGCAGCATCTCCATGTGGAAATGATTCCTGTCACATACTTTGAGGACCGGGGTTCAGTTTCATCCAGTCAATTTAAGTTTCACTTTTGTCATAATCATCCAAATGAGAGATTCTGTTTTGGTGGTTTTGTTTTTATGGTATAGGGTGTGTGTTCTCAATGGAGAAAGACAGAGAGAGAAAAGGAAAGTGAGGAGTCACCCCCCCCCCAGCCCAGGGGGAATAGCTACACTATAATCCCTTCTCATTCTCTCTCAGAATTTTGGGCATGCATGCACATGTACCTGGTGTGTTTTTCAAGCCACCAGGTATGAAATTTGAACTGTGCAGTAGGCTATGTAGAATCTAGCCTCCCTAACCTCCACTCTACCTGCTGGCCCCAAATGATAGATTGTAGAGACAGGAATTTGTGCAGTGGTGAGCCCGGCTCGAGGAGGCATGCTCATGTCCAGTCCCTGGTCCCCTAACTCCCTGGGCATTTTCAGGTTATTCTGTTTTTGTTTGTCTTCAAAACAAAATGTCATTCACCTGTTTTCCTGATTTTTTTTTTTAAGGTGTTTACCATAGGGTGTGTGCGCTTGCCAGAGAGAGAGAGAGAGAGAGAGAGAAGGAAAATGAGAAGTCTGCAGTCTCTTCTCCATTCTCCTCCCAGGATCTTGGGCATGCATGCACCATGCGCAGCATGACTTCCAAGCTGCCAAGTCCAAGACTTGAACTGCGGTTGGCCATATGGAGGTCTAGTGCCTTAACCACTACACCATCTGCTGGCCCCTGTCTTTCTGATGTTTAAAAGGGCAAAGTTTTTGGTGAGCAGAAGAGTTCCTTCTCAGCCCCCTAGAATTCTGTCAAAGGGGAAGAGGAGGTTAGGTGGCTGGCGAGTCTGCACTGAGGTCGCAGAACGTCCGTGAGCTGCTGGAAGCTCTGTGCTTTACCTCCTGCTCCCCTCACTGCTTTCCCATTGGCAGGCCTCTAGCAGGTTTTATGAGATGGACCAGTCCATCTTGGACCGCGTCCTAAGCCCAGGGCTCAGTCATCTTGGCCCCATCAGGAATCAGGGCCAGACCCCAGGCAGGGAAGGGACGGGGACTCCACAGGCTCACTACTGCAGTCCTAATTCACTTTCTTTTCCGCCATCTTGTTCTGCAGGGGTGTTCCCTCAACACATTCCACCCCCATCTGGTTCAAGGATATGAGCACAGCAAGCTCAGACACCAGCAGCCAGGGCCAGGATTTTACCCTAGTAGTTTCCAGCTCCAGCAAATAGAGTTTCTCAAGGGGCACCTCCCAGAAGTGCCCTTGCTTGGAAAACAGACAGCATCACTGCCACCGTTCTTCCCAGGATTCTGGCCAAGGTTTCCAGGACCACCTGCCAGGGCCAGGCAACTAGAGACTGGGGGTGTTCCCAGGGGCGTACCTCTCAGAAATCAGGGGCCCCGGAGAGGGTTCCAGCGTCCTTCGCCACGTGGCAGGAGTCTGCCCTGGAGAGGTATCGATAGGCTTTCCTCACGTTTCCAGGATCTGACTATCAGCCAGAATCAGGAACAGAGGATCTTAGAGCTCTTGGAGGATCTTGGGGCAGGGCAGACCATCACAGCACATGACCTGGCTAGGAAGCTTGGGGCCCCAAAGAAAGACGTCAATCGAGTTTTATACTCCCTGGCAAAGGAGGGGAAACTACACAAGGAGGCAGGAACACCCCCTCTGTGGAGAATTTTGATCTCAGTTCAGGCTTGGAACCAGCCCAGCAGGGTCGTCAGACCAGACATTTGTAGTGAGGACGCTCCAGCCTCAGAGCCCAGTGTGGAAAGTGAAGACAGAGACCCCACATCTGAGCACAGTGTGGAAAGTGAAGACAGAGACCCCACATCTGAGCACAGTGTGGAAAGTGAAGACAGAGACCCCACATCTGACGCGGAAAGTCCTTCTGAGCCTTTTGACATGGCCGAGGTCAAGGAGAAAATCTGCAACCATCTGTTCCGTGTGTATAACTCCTCTGCCCTGAACTTGGCCAAAAACATTGGCTTCGCCAAAGCCCGAGATGTAAATGCCGTCCTGATTGATTTGGAAAGGCAGGGAGAAGTCTACAGGCAAGGTACGACCCCTCCCATTTGGTTTCTGACAGACAAGAAGCGAGAGAGGATGCTAATCAAGAGAAATATGCACAGTGTTTTTGCAACCGCTCCAGCTGCCATCCCGGAGCCTAAAAGAGAGACAGGGCTCCCCACCTGTAATGTTCCCACAGCGGCTCCCTCACACAAGGTGGTGGCCACAGGAAACGTAACCACGGGAAGCATGGTAACCACACATAATGTGGCTACCACACAAAACGTGGCTACCACACAGAACGTGGCTACCACACAGAACATGGTTACCACACAGAACGTAACCACACCGCAGAAGGGGGCTACCACACAGAACGTGGCTACCATACAGAACGTGGCTACCACACAGAACGTGGCTACCACACAGAACATGGTTACCACACAGAACGTAACCACAGAAAAAGTGGAGAACGGGCAGGAACCTGTCGTAAAGTTAGAAGCCAGGCCAGAGGCCAGACCAGAACCCATGAGACCGAAACCACCTGTTCATCACAATGGCCCCTCAAAACCAGGGTATGTTGACTTTGAAAATGGCCAGTGGGCCACAGATGACATCCCAGATGACTTGAATAGTATCCACGCAGCCCCAGGTGAGTTTCGAGCCATCATGGAGATGCCCTCCTTCTACAGTCATGGCTTGCCACGGTGTTCACCCTACAAGAAACTGACAGAGTGCCAGCTGAAGAACCCCATCAGCGGGCTGTTAGAGTATGCTCAGTTCGCTAGTCAGACCTGTGAGTTCAACATGATAGAGCAGAGTGGACCACCCCATGAACCTCGGTAAGAGACCACCCAGGACCCGTGCCTAGGGTTGGGTCAGGCACTCCCGCTCCTTGCGGTCTCAGTAGTGCAGGTTGGCAGCTCCTGTCTCCCTCTTCCTTTCTGCCCTTTGCCTAAATCACCTCTGATGAGCCCTTTGTCCAGATGTTGAGCAGGGAATCCAGGCCTCGGGCCAGCCAGAATCTTGGCTGAGCAAGGGGCAAGAAATGAAGCTTCCTTAGAAATGGTTGGCAGCAGTGTCTCCTTAGGCCAGAGGTGATAAAGACTTAACTCCCTCCTGCCCCCGCTTCCCCAGGCTGACATCTTGAGAGGTACGGGAGCGAGTAGGTTGGGCCAGGCACGGAATGAGGGCGGTTGTGCTGCTAGGCAGCACCAAGTCCGAAGTCCCCGCCCGCTTCGCTCCTGGAAGGAAAGGGTGGCGTGAGCACGCCTGCCTCTCTCTAAAGGTGGTGGTTCTAATTTTATGCGCCTCCTCTGCACGTACTGGTGGGCTAGCACTTGCTGCTGCTCCTGAGCTGCGAAATCCGATTACCTCACTCAGACAGCTGGCTGGGTACTGTAGCATAGGGCCCACGGGCAGTGGACAGATCGAGGAAGACAGGTGGGCCCAGAAAGGAGCAGCCAAAGGCCTAGCAGTGGCTGGGCCCTGGGGGTCAACAGGAGAGGCTAATGAGAGAGCCATGAGCCTGGGAGAGAATTCCACTGACCTTTCTGTTTAGCTGCCTGGGTTCGACAGGGTGGGATTCTTAGCTGTGGCCCTTCGTCCTCATCTTGATTGTCTTAACGACACCAAGTTGACTTGCAGGAGAGCTAAGGAAGGGGCTGGATCTATCCAAAGCTGCAGGGCCAGAAGAGATTTGGGTTTCTTTGGGCAGGGGCTGGGTGCCATCATTCCCTCTCTTTTCCCTCTGCGCCTCTCTCCAGAGCTGGGGGAGAGGAGCGGGTTTTGTAGTTAATCATCCTTTGGATTCCAGCTATCAGAAACATTGGTGCCATGATCACATATTTAAAGAAACCCTAGAAAAGAAAATCATTTGACTTACTTTTCTAAATGAAATCACAGACTGAGTGAAAAGCTGAACAGATTTGAAATCTTATTCAGAAAGAGGTCTAGGGTAAGTCCAAAGGTCTAGAAGAATTGTTTTCTGGTTTTCTACATAATAAGGGAAAATTCCTTTCATCCTAGGTTTGGGACAAGTGGAGCTATAGAATAACTCAGAACAACGTGTAAGAACGACATGTCTCTAGGGTAGGCTAGGGACAGAAACACGCTCCTGGTACGTGGCAGTGCCGGGGAGTGTGAGACTGGGCTGTGAGAAACCTTCGCCACCTTGTCGCGCCTTCCTCACGGAGGCCAGTCTGCCACAGCAGCTTTAGGATGGAGGCATTTGGGTTGCTGGCAAGACTGTCGTGGTGATGTCTTTTGTGTGGACTTCTCTAACTTAAGAGCTAGTGGATTTCCCTGAGCTACTCTCATATCACCTCTGGCTGTGTTTGTTCCACTGAGCTGTGAGGACAGGGTCACTGGCTGCTTTGCTTCCAGAGAGGGACAGGCTGTCTCCAGAGGGACAGGGGTTCCTTAACCTACCCTCCGTCTCCTCCCTCAGTGTAGCAGAGCATTCCAGGGCAAAGCTGTCTTTGGAGGACAGAAGGGACGGCCTAGCCTAGGTTCACATGTCTAATTGCTTTCCGCCAAGATTTAAATTTCAGGTTGTCATCAATGGCCGAGAGTTCCCCCCAGCTGAAGCTGGCAGCAAGAAAGTGGCCAAGCAGGATGCAGCTATGAAAGCCATGGCAATTCTGCTTGAGGAAGCCAGAGCCAAGGACAGTGGAAAAGCAGAAGACTCATCCTACTATTTCACGGAGAAAGAATCAGAGAAGGCAGGTGTCCACCCCTCTGGGAAGATACCAGTTCACTTCCAGTGCCTGGGAAGGGTCAGGATGTGGACTGCCCCACTCGAAGCAGCCCCAGCCTAAACGGCTACACTGGCTCTTGGAGTTAGTGTCCCACTCTGCCCTCTGTCCACCCCCTCGGCCCGTCTTTCCTCTTTTCTCACCCAGCTCCTCTCTTTGTCCCCTCCCAACCTAACTGGATCTATAGAATTTCATACTTAAGAAATCCTAAAGATTACTGGGTCTAGTCTCTTGGGAGATAAGAAACGAGACCCAGAATATTCAGATCGCTTTCCCTTTCCCGCAGTGCCTAGAAAACCCGCAGCAGCCCCTCTCCCTCTGGAAGCCAGCCTCTGGCGTTTAGTTGGCCAGAAGAAGCTCTCCCATCATCCCTGCCACTACGATGGACTAACCAGTGTTGTCTTAGTATTTTTTTCTTGTCTCTCATTTTCTCCAGACTGCAGAGTCCCAGCCCACTGCCCCTTCAGCAACATCCTTATTTTCTGGGAAGAGCCCCGTCACCACATTGCTTGAGTGTGTGCACAAGTTGGGGAGTTCCTGTGAATTCCGTCTCCTGTCCAGAGAAGGCCCTGCCCATGACCCTAAGTATGTCCCGTGTATCATATATCTCGCAAGGAGGAGAAACACACTGCTTCCTCACAGATGGCAGGGTATTTCACTGAGCAGTTCCTCCTGTTCGATATTGGAAAGGGGGTCCCTAAAGGGGCTGGTTGCTGCTTGCCAAGCAGAGAATGTGGGATGAGGAAGTCAAAGGAACCAAGAACTAGGGAGGTACATGGCTTGGAGGATCCTGTGGGTGGGACAGAAAGGCACACCTGGGCATACCTGAGAGACTCTCTGCTTAAGGGTCTCTAGACTTACATATGCAAGAGAAGGGCTCCTGGAGGAGCTGAAATGAGTTTGACATTTAAATGTGGAAAGGGGTTAGCCAGGCTATGGACGCGGGCAGTAGGTGGGTGAAGGGCCCTGGCTTTTCAAGTCAAGTGACCGCACGGCGGTGATGCGTGCAAGGGAACTACCTGTAGTAAAGGATGACAGGCCTGGCTCCGTGGCGCAGCAGTGACACACTGCTCAAGTGACGCTGGATCCATGTGGAAGATCGTGGGTTCATTTCCCTGGTCGACCTGTATATGGCGGTGTGTGCGCCCGTGATACTGGCGGGCTGGGAAGGCTGAGGATGTGGGGCACGACGTGAGACCCTGTTCAGGGATGCCTGCCTGTCTCTGTCTCTCTCTCTCTCTCTCTTTCTCTCTCACTCACTCTAAAAAAAAAAGAAAAAAACTGGGCAAATCTCAGTCAAAACCATTTTAATCCTCCTACCTCTTTCATCTTCTGGCAGGTTCCAATACTGTGTTGCAGTGGGAGATCAAACGTTTCCCACCGTGAGTGCCCCCAGCAAGAAAGTGGCAAAGCAGATGGCTGCAGAGGAAGCTATGAAGGCCCTGCACGGGGAGGCAACCAACCCAGCATCTTCTGATGACCAGGTGGGGCTGTCTTCCTGCTCCAAAGAGCAGGTCGTTTTTAGCAGCTGAGTGGCTTAGAATTGCCAAGAGGCCCTCAGAGCTTCCCAAAGTGTTTATGGTTCGTCTTTGTTTGGCTAATTCTCCTCTAGCCCGGAAGTGCAAATATGGACTCCCTTGATAACTTGGAACCTGGGATGCCTAGCAAGGTCAGGAAGATTGGCGAGCTTGTCAGATACCTGAACACCAACCCAGTGGGCGGCCTGCTGGAGTACGCCCGCTCCCATGGCTTTGCTGCCGAGTTCAAGTTGGTTGACCAGTCCGGACCTCCTCATGAGCCCAAGTGAGTGTCCCAGCTCTGGCTAGAGCCAGCCACGTGTCACCGGGTGGGGGTGGTGATGCCTGCCTGTCTCTGTCTCTCTCTCTCTCTCTCTTTCTCTCTCACTCACTCTAAAAAAAAAAGAAAAAAACTGGGCAAATCTCAGTCAAAACCATTTTAATCCTCCTACCTCTTTCATCTTCTGGCAGGTTCCAATACTGTGTTGCAGTGGGAGATCAAACGTTTCCCACCGTGAGTGCCCCCAGCAAGAAAGTGGCAAAGCAGATGGCTGCAGAGGAAGCTATGAAGGCCCTGCACGGGGAGGCAACCAACCCAGCATCTTCTGATGACCAGGTGGGGCTGTCTTCCTGCTCCAAAGAGCAGGTCGTTTTTAGCAGCTGAGTGGCTTAGAATTGCCAAGAGGCCCTCAGAGCTTCCCAAAGTGTTTATGGTTCGTCTTTGTTTGGCTAATTCTCCTCTAGCCCGGAAGTGCAAATATGGACTCCCTTGATAACTTGGAACCTGGGATGCCTAGCAAGGTCAGGAAGATTGGCGAGCTTGTCAGATACCTGAACACCAACCCAGTGGGCGGCCTGCTGGAGTACGCCCGCTCCCATGGCTTTGCTGCCGAGTTCAAGTTGGTTGACCAGTCCGGACCTCCTCATGAGCCCAAGTGAGTGTCCCAGCTCTGGCTAGAGCCAGCCACGTGTCACCGGGTGGGGGTGGTGGTAACCTAGGGACAGGAAGGCTGTGCATTAGTTGTGAATGAGAGGAGAGCCAGCCCCGTCTCCACCGCCTCTTAGGAGACGTTAGAATGTCTGAGAATATAGTCACACTTCTAATAAGTATGATGCTTTTTAATTTTTTTAAATACTATTTTAATTTTGAAGGAATATATATGTCTGTATACATACGTATATATTAGGTCGTCGGGAAGGTCACCGCTCATTTAAATACGTCGTGACTTTCCCGACGACCTAATATAATCGTTCATACTAATTGAAAAATATTCACTTAAAGTCTCATTTCTATCCCAGACTTTTAATTATAGTTTCCCTCTCCAGACCCATATAGTATACCAGTTTCTAGAGTCTTTCTAGAAACTTCTATACATAACTAGTACATTTCCTCTTTTTGTTTATTTTTGTTTTGTTTTGAATTGCCAGAAGGCATGAGTGCTCTCCAAAGAGAGAGACAGGGAGAAAGCACCCTCCAGGGGGGAATGGTTACAGTGTAATCCCTTCTCTGTTTTCCCATCCTGTCCTGATCTGGAGTATACAGGCACCAGTGCTTGGCATGTTTTACAAGCCACTGGGGCTAGGCATCAAGCTTGTGGGATCTGGCTTCCCTTAACTGCTAGGCTGCGGGGCCTGTGCACTTTTCGGTTTGTTTGCTCTAACAAAGTAAGAATATCTTTTGTTCTATACTTTGACTCCCTTACTTACCAATGTGTTTAGGTAGAGGTTAGCATATATAGTTCTACCAGACTTGCACGGCATCATCAATAGTTGCTTACAATTTTGTTTATTAAATAAGAAAGATAAAAGTCTTTCCTAAGATGGATTCCTTTGTACCACTACTCAGTTTAAAGAATAGAATGTTGCCATTGTCTTTGAAGCTCCCACTTAGGCATAATCTATTTAACCAACTTGCAGAAATATTGAAGCTGATTTTGGTCTAGCTATTAGAAAAGCCCCTGCAGGGACCAGCAGTTGGCATAAGGGCTATGTCACTGGACTCCCATGTAGTCAACCGCAGTTCGAGTCCCAGACCCGGTGGCTTAAACTCACTCCAGGTGCATGTGCGTGCGTGCCCAAGATCCCGAGAGGAGAATGGAGAAGGGATTGCGGCATGACCATCCCGCCTGAGGGTTGATTTCTCGCTTTCTGCCTCTCTCTCTCTCCCTCTCTCTGGCAAGCGCATGTGCCCTATAGCAAAAACTTATCAAAAAAAAAAATTAATAAATATTAAAAAAAAAAAAAGCTCCTGCAGTGAATATCCTTATACTGCATCGCTTTGCTTACATGTGCGAGATTGTCTGTAGCATAAATTTTTAGGAGTGGAATTTCTGAGCTGGGGTTATGTGCGTTTTTTTTTAAGTTTTAAACGTTTTTGAATAAATAATAGAATAAATATAAAATGTAATTCAGATAAGATATACAAAAAGCTCATTCTCAATCTGTCTTTGCCCTGCTCTTCACTCATCACATACGTACAAATCAGTATCTGATTTTCTATGCAAAAATGCATCATGACTTTCCCGACGATCCAGTAATTGCTTTATGTTATTACATACTTACTGGACATCTTTATAAGCAAGTGTTATCTCCCCATTTGTTACACAGAAGTATACGTCATTGGCCTATAGTTTGCCTTTTACACATAGCAATATCCTCTTGGATAACTTCCATATCACCCTATATGAATATAGTTGCAGAGTGCAGTGTAACAGTGTGTGGGTTTATCATGATTGATTTACCCAGCCCCCATGGATGAACACTTGAATTGCTTCCAAACTTTTGCTACTGTAAACAAAGCTGCAATAAATAACATGTATATGAGCATTTTAAATTTTAGTAAAGGTTGCCAAATTTTTCTCCAAAGAGCTTGTACCAGTTTATGTTTCTACCAACAATATATGAGAATTGTCCAGGGGCCAGCAGATGGCGAGGAGGTTAAGGCTGCCGGATCTTGCATGGTCAACAGCATGGTTCAAGTCTCAGACCTGGCAGCTTGAAAAACACTGAGAATGTGTGCACACATGCCCACAAGTCCTGAATGGAGAGTGGAGCAGAAGGGATTGCAGTCGAGTCATTCCATCGCACCTGCGAAGCGCTTTGTCACTTTATCTCTCTCCCTCTCTGTCTCTCTCCACGAGTGCATACACCCTATAGCAAATTGGGGGGGGGAGAATTGTTATATAGAGAATTTAAAAATTTTTTGCTTTTGCCAGTCAAAAGAGTAAAAAATGATATCTCGATGTATTATTTACCATACTAACAGATCAAAGGAGAACAAACACATAATCATTTCTAGATATTCCAAAAGAAATAGTAAAATTCGGGACCAGCAGTTAATGTAATGGCTATGTCGCTGAACTCCCATGTAGTTGACTGCAGTTCAAGTCCCGGACCCGGCGGCTTAAACTCATGCCCGGTGCATGAGCGTGCGTTCCCGAAGAGAATGGAGAAGAAGGGATTGCGGTGTGGCCATCCCCCGTGGGGGGTGATTTCTCACTTTCTGTCTCTCTGTCTCTGTCTTTCTGGCGAGCACATGCGCCCTGTAGCAAAAACCTATCCAAAAAAAAAAAAAGTAGTAAAATTAAACATCTATTCAGATTAAAAAACCAAGCTGTCAACAAACCTCCTTAAGCATAATAAAAGTCCATTTCTGAAGTCAAAAGCTAGCAGATAACTTAATGAGCCCAGAACTGTTCCTGTTAAAGTCAAAAGGGAGATATGGATTCCAGTGTCATTATTATCGAACATTATTCTGAAATTACTTGCCAATGCAATCAGTCGAGATAAATAATATAAAAAGAAGAAAAGCAGGCTGCCCTCATATTCCAGTGCTTACAGGAGGTGAATCCCACATAACCAGCTACTGTTCAAATCTTGGGCCTAGCAGCTTGAAAAACACACTGAACCAAAATAAAGGGGGGTGGGGGCGGGGCTGTGGGAAATGCACTGGGCATTTAACCAACTTGCAGAGGTATTGAAGGTGTTTGGTCTAGCTATTAGAAAAGCCCCCGCAGGGAATATCCCTGTACTGCACAGCTTTGCTGACATGCGCGAGACTGCAGCCCAGGTTATTCCTAAGAATGTCACCATTTGAACAGAGCCTTGGGTCTGTGCTGGGTTTATTAAACAGACTCCGTTGGTCATGTGTGTTACCGTGGCGTTCAAATCAATTCCAGCCTGCCCTCTAGGTTTTACATTAGCAGAACAGTATCAGTTTAGTGTATTACTACATTGGAGACCTATATCAAGTCCAAATTCCTGACCAAATTGTGACAGTTAGCTGATGAATTCAGCATGTGTGCATATGCATGTACGTCCAAAGTCCTGCGAAGAGATTGGAAAAGAAGGGATTGCAGCATGGCCATCCCCCCGAGGGATGATTTCTCACTTTCTCTTTCTCCCCAGTGAGCACACAAACTTAAAAAAGTAATAATATTTTTATTCCAGTTTTTTCCCTAAACTTTACCTTGGTCCCATTGGCTATGTTTATATCACCATTAAGATTTTGCTGGGAACCAGCAGTTAGCGTAATGGCTATGTCGCTGGACTCCCACGTAGTCGACCGCGGTTCGCGTCCTGGACCTGGTGGCTTAAAACTCACGCTGGGCGCGTGTGCGTGCGTGCCCAAGATCCCGGGAGGAGACTGGAGGAGAAGGGATTGCAGCGTGACCATCCCCCCTGGGGGGTGATTTCTCGCTTTCTGTCTCTATGTCTCTCTCTGGCTGGCGAGCACACGCGCCCTATAGCAAAAATCTCTCAAAAAAAAAAAAAAAGAAAAAAGATTTTGCTAACAGGTTTTGGAATCGTAGTGCATTGGTCAAGGAGTCCCCAAAATGTTTCTTCTCCTTCACCTAGCTGTTCTGCCCACACCTGCACAGGGCCTTGGACCTGCAGCCTGGGCTCAGGCCCGGAGACCCTGGCCCCTCTGTCAGTCTTTACCTTGATTAACCAGTCTAACCATTGCCCAGGCAGTTCTAAGTGAGGTTTTGGATAACCTTATCTTAATTCTGGCTTTCTAAATTCCTCCAGACTGGGGTCAATGGAATGAACTTGCTTGGGACCTTTTAAGCTTGGGGAGCTGGTGACAGGTGCCACTGGCCCAGCCAGCCTTCAGTAGCGCAGTGTCAGCACCTTTGTTCCGGCACCATCAGTGTCTACCACGTCCACCCCTTACGGCAGGGGCTTTTGTCCAGCCCACCTGGCTGGCCGTTCCCTTGAGGATAACCTCCTGTGTGTCTAGGTCATGTACAGCTGTCTGCGATGGTTGAACAGTGAGCTGGGGCC